CCATTTCTCCTTTAATATCTCCTCTGTTTCCTTATTTTCTTCTGGAATTCTAGTTAAATATACATTAGACCCCTCACTTTATCCCTTATGTTCCTTTCTTTTCCTTTTCCCCCCCTTTTTTGGGGGGGGCCAGAGAGAGTGCTCAAGCTGGGAACAGGGGCAGACCAAGAGAGAGAATCTCAAGCAGGCTCCACACTCAGTGCACGGCCTGACATGTGGCTCAATCCCACAACTCCTGAATCATGACTTGAGCTGAAACCAGGTCAGACACTCAACCAACTGAACCATCTGGGTGCCCCTATCCCTCATGCTTCTTAACTTCCATTTTGTATTTTCCATTTCTCTAGGCTGCATTCTAGTTAACTGCTTAAGTCCAATTTCCCAATTCATTACTGTCTTCTTCAGTGATGTCCAATCATCTGCTGTTAAGCCTGACCAAGGAAATCTTATTTTCTATTTTTATTTTCTCATTTCTAGAGGTTCTGATTAGTACATCTTCAAATCTTCTCTTTCTTTACCACATTTTCAATCCTCTTTTATTTTTGGAAATTAAAATAAGCACTCTTGTTTTGTATTTTGGGGTTGATAATTTCAATCTCTCAAGTCTTTGCAGGTCTAATTCTCTGCCATCTGTTTTTTGTTGCTTTTGTTTATGGTCTCTTGTTTTCTTGTTTATGAGTTGTTTGATAGTGAGTTTTTCATTTCTCTTAGAATTCTATTTTTATTATTATTCTTTTCCATTTTCTTTCTTTTCTCTTTCTGGTATTCCTATTAGTTGGATTTTGACTTTTCCTCCCTGGTTGATCTTCCAAGTATCTTACCTTCCTTTTGTATTTTCCATCTGTCTTTTGCTTAATATCCAGAAAAAGAAAATGTTTTCAACCTTATATTCTAGATTCCAGACTTCAGGTATTTCTATTACAATTTTAAGTTTTATTGACCATATTTTAAATTCTCAAGTGCTCGTTTATTCTCTAATGACTTCTTTTTCGTGCCATTCTGTTCTCTTTATATTTAATACAAAAATTTTCAAATTTTTCTGGACTGTAATGACACTTGTAATTTTTTTCTTCTGTTCTTTGAATGAATAGATTGATTCCCTTAGGGCCATTCCTTCTCTTTGATGCTCCTTGGTTATATATTCACATTTTTTAAAAATGAAAATGGGTTGGTTAATGAAGGTAAATGGTGTGAATTTCCCCTGTAATGGTACACTGATATCTTTTCCTAACACTCCTTTGCCTTGTATGAAAGGGATGATTTAGAGTTCTTTGTAAGTGGATAGGGTTTGGTGACTGGAAGGCTTCATTTAGAGTTCAGAAGAGAGGCCTCAGGCAAGCTGGGAGCCCTGACACTACACTCCAACAAAAGGAGGAAGTACTTCACCCTGAGTATTAGTATTTTTTGTTTCCATCTTCAGCAAACTTGACTCTTATTTGCCACCCATATATGTCTATTTTTAAGGTCTGGTGTCATCTCAGAACCTGTTCTGCTTTTCTCTTAGTTATTAGTCCCCAAGTAGGACTTCTGATCAGCTTTTCATTTTCTTAGTAAATATAACTATTTTTTTTTTTTTTTTTTTTTTGTCTTTTGGGTTTTGGGGGAAGAAAAACCAGATTGGATGCTCTGTATAAGAAACAGTTGGGATGGGGGTTGAGGTAATTGGCAGAAGAATGACCCAGGTGTTCCTGTCTTGCTCCCAATCTATGTCTATCTATTCTTTCTTGGGAATGAGAGGCAGTATGGAATCTTGAGCTCCCTAGGGCTCCTAGGATAGTTCCCACCACTACTAGAACTTGTTGCTGTTTGTTTCACCATTTTCCTTGCTTTCTTTTTCTGGGTCATGATCTTCTCTGCCAGGATTATCAAACAGCAATGGTCCTTTCTGCTTCTGTTTTATGGAAACTCAATAGAACTTCTGGTTTGTTGATTGCATCCCTTCTTGTTCTCAGTGCTATGATGAATTTACTTCCATTACTTTTGGTTAGTTAAATGGAGATTCTAAAGAAAGGGGACGAGGTGCTTATGTGTAGTCTTCCTCTTGAACAGGACACTCTCATAACTTTTAAAAAACATAGACATACATCATCTATTTTAATATTTCAGTTTCTCAATGCTTAAAAAGCTTTGATTTTATAATATTAAATTAATCAGTAATTCAACAAAATGACTAAAGTATCCATATTTTAAAAGATTTGGATTAAAAATATTTCTCTTTAATTCATACACTCTTTCCCCTTAGTATTGACATACATACTTTTTCTAGTTTCAGAAAGAAACAAGCACTGACCTGGGGTTCCTGGGTGGCTCAGTCGGTTCCATGTCTAACTTTGGCTCAGGTCATGATCTCACTGTTTGTGGGTTCAAGCTCCATGTCGAGCCCCATGTCGGGCTCTGTGCTGACAGCTCTGAGCCTGAAGCCTTCTTCAGATACTATTCTCTCTCTCTTACCCACCCATAAACATTAAAAAAAAAAAAAAAAAGGAAAAAAGCACTGACCTAAAGTGGTGATGGTTAGTCTGTCAATTCACATATACATATTTGTGTTTGGTGTCACTCAAGTTCAGTTTTTTTTCTATTTTCTACATATTTACTGGAGTCAGAATTCCAGAAATATTCCAAACAATAATGATTCCAAACCAAAAACAAAACACAGCACAGGAACTACCGGTGGCATCGGCTCTCCTAAAGTTTCAAATATGCTATAATTGATAGAAAAAGCTCAGATTTTTAAACAGTAATATTACTTTTCTACAGATTTACGTGGCTTTTGGCAGACAGTTTAAAAAGAAAATCTCCCTACCCCTAGAAAAGAGGAAGCCAATCACAAATTTCCCTAGACAATGAAATGCCATGGGGCGCCTGGGTGGCTTAGTCGGTTAAGCGTCCGACTTTCGCTTGGATCATGATCTCGCGGTTCGTGGGTTCGAGCCCCGCGTCGGGCTCTGTGCTGGCTGCCAGCTCAGAGCCTGGAGCCTGTTTCAGTCTGTGACTCCCTCTCTCTCTGACCCTCCCCTGCTCACGCTCTCTCTCTCTCCTAGAAATAAATAAAACATTTAAAAAAAAAAAAAAAAAGAAATGCCAGAGAGTGTACCACACAAGGCAGGTGCCACTTCACATTTCATAGAAGATGGGGTCTGCTTTACATAATCTAAATTGTAGTTTAAGCACATGGATTTATGACATGCCATAAAAATATGCCAGATGCATACAAAGTCACAGTATATAATTCTTGGACAAGAATTCAAACCAACAGTGAAATGACAGAAACAACCTTCTAGGGGTCAAGGTAGTGAAATACAGTCTGTTGTCTTAGGGGTAGAGACCCTGGAATACAGTCATTTAGCCATGTGACCCTGGGTTAGTTACTGCCCTCAAAAATCTCATTTTCATCATGTATAAAATGGGGCTGGTAATGGCTACCTTATATGGCTATGGTTAGGATTAAGTGAAATAACACATCAAGGCATTGGAACATAGAAGAAACTCAACAGCTATTTCCTTTGTTCTTTATGTCAAAAACTCTAAGCTCAGAGAAAGTATATTCATTTATCGATTATGTTCTCTCTTTACTCTGAACTGCTTAAGTTCAAATGGAGAGAAACAGTGAGGAAAGTAATGGCAACTCTTCAGTATGCTCTAGTTTTCTAGCATGTTCTTTAGTATGCTCATAAGGCATAAGATGCTGATACTGCACATCTCATGAAGGACTTAATCAGGCATTTCTTCTAATTCCTTTTCTTACCAGTGAATTTATAGTTTTCTTTAGATTTCAAGTCCCTTGGCCTTTCACCACTTCACCAGTGCTTGTGCTTTCAGCAAATCCCCAAAGAGGGTGGGATAATTAAATGATATTGCTTTTGCATCATTATGCCATCATCATTCCCCCACTCTGTCCTTTTTCTGGCTGTGTGTTAAAAGTCTGAAGCTTCCTAACACATTTGTCTGGACGTCTTTTCTCCTCAAGCCTTCTGCCTCACAGATGCTCAGTGGGTGAGCCTCAGTTCCAAAGACACATTTACTAGCTCAGAGTGATTTTCATGTTCTAACATAGCTTTGTAATTGGGTGCTCTCAGCTGACTGGCTGGTTTTGAGACTAACAGTGATGCCCAGTCTTTGTGAATGTGCTTTCATGACATGGATGGAATAGCTAATGCATTTTTATTTAAATATTGTTTTTAATGTTTTAGTTATTTTTGAGAAAGAGGGGGGGCAGAATGAGAGAGAGAGAGAGAGAGGCAGAGAGAGAGGGAAACACAGAATCCAAAGCAGGCTCTAGGTCTGAGATGTCAGCACAGACCTCCATGTGGGGCTCCAACTCACAAACCATAAAGTCATGACCTGAGCCAAAGCTGGGCATTTAACCGACTGAGACAACCAGGTGTCCCAGCTTATGCATTTTTAATGCTCAAGATGATATTAACACAAATTACTTCATGCCAAGAAGAGAATTAAAACACTACTTCATGAAATGATAGGATTTTCTCTTTGATGATAAAACCAACGTGTTTTATTGCACACTGGTTTCAATAAGAAAATTCCTTCTTGGCCTTACAGCCTATCTCTGGGGAGGGCATGACATTTTCATGGATTCTAAGGCCGTTTATCTTGAGGTCTTCTAATTTGTTCTCTTGGCCCATTCATTTTTTTTTCAATTTAGATGACTCATTAGTTGTCTTTAAAGGTTTTTATCCCTCCACATGTACTAGAGACCAACTATAATACAGCATAATGTTCCTTCCTCCTAGGATTGCTTTGAAATTCACCATTTTAAGTTTGGCACCTCCTTCCCTTGAATAAAGATGGAGGAGCACTCAAGATCACCCTGAATCTTATCCATTTGGGTGGTACTTGAACAAATGGTCCTCTTTTCCCCTACTTGAGTTTGTTTTTTAGTGAAATTCTTCTCAACCTACCATCTGTTGCATGCATCTTCCCTTCCTCCCTCCCGCTGCATCTCCCACCCCTCACATATGAAGCTGTAGAGAGGTCTTTCTTACTTGGATTATTGTGTCCGGAGGAAACAAGTTGAGTATCCTAAAAGAACAAGAAATATCAATTAATTTTCTTATTTTGACTTTCAAAATATAAGTTGAATATGAGGACTACTACTGGTCATCCAGACCCTAATCTCTAATCATGATCTCTATCTACCAGCTACTGTAATGAGAAACTTTTATATCAATGTGTTGGCTAAGCAGTTCTGGTAAAACAGTTCACAACCATTTCCCTTTTGTGTTGTAGACATTTTGTTTACTGAGGTAAAAATCCACAGAATATAAAATTAACCACCTTAAAGTGAACAGTTCAGTGGCATGTAGGGTACACAATATGTTGTACAACCATTATCTCTATTTGGTTGCAAAATATTTCCATCATTACTAAATAAAACTCCTTGCCCATTAGGCAGTGTCTCCTCATTCCCCCCTCCTCTCACTCCCTGACAATCACTGATCTGCATCCTGTCTCTATGAATTTATCTATTTTGTATATTTTAGGGAATGGAATCACAAAATATGTGACCGTTGGTGTCTAGCTTCTTTCACTTAGCATAATGTTTTGGAGGTTCATCCAGTACTTCATTCCTATTATGGCCAAATAATATTCAATTCTATATATACACAATAGTTCGTTTAGCCATTCATCCGTTAATGGATATTTGGGCTGTTTTCACCTTTCGGCTATTGTGAATAGTGCCGCTATGAGCACATTTGTGTATGTAATTGTTTCAGTCCCTGTTTTCAATCCTTTTGGGTACAGACTACAAATGGAATTTGTAGGGCCATAGGGGGGTAATTCTATATGAAACTTTCTGAGCAGCTACCAACCTGATGAGGATAGTGGCTGAATCATTTTGTATTTATACCAGCCATGTATGAGGGTTCTGATTTTTCCATATCCTCATCAATACTTGTCATTTTCTTTTAACTTTTAGAAATTTTACCATAGCTGTCTTTAGTGTGTGTGCTTTCTCACTACGGTTTTGATTTATATTTTCCTAAGGACCAATAATGATGAGTACATTTTCATGTTTTTATTGGGCATCTTATATCTTCTTTGGAGAAATACCTATTTAAGTACTTTGCCCATTAAAAACTGGGTTGTTTGCTTTTTTGTTGTTGAGTTGAAAGAGTTCTTTATATATTCTGGATACTAGACCCTTATCAGACATATGATTTATAAATATTTCTTCCCATTCTGTCAGCTGTCTTTACTTTACCGGTAATGTCCTTTAATGCACAGAAGTTTTTAATTTTAATGAAGTCCAGTTTATTTCATTTTTGTTGTTATTGTTCATGCTTTTGGTGTCATATTTGAGAATCTGCTGTCAAATCCAAAGTCGTAAATTTGTCTCTATGTTTTCTTCCATGAGGTTTATGGTTTTAGTTCACATTACTAAATTTGATTTCTTTGTTAAGATTTATTATATTGCTGACTTTTAATCTAAACTACCTCCCTTTGAATCTTTACTCTCATCATCTTTCTGCAGATGAGGCTGACAACCATTCCTCCAGGGACACTGCACTGAACAATTATTGTCAGTCTCATATTGGTGAATGGAAAGATTACTACAGATTTCCACTTACCTGAAATGGTGGAAAGCCAGGACTCTATAGTAGTTTGAGTTTAGTTACTGTTTAGGTAAATAGTGATTAAACCTGATTTTATTTGCATTAAAGTAAAATTCTAAATTTAGTTTTGGGAATTCACATCCTTTTTCTTTGAAAAATTCTCATTTAGCATGAAATACAAGGGACAGTTATGAAAGAATGAATTAATAGAGATGGTAGGAATATAAAAGAAAAAGCAGCAGCACATAAAATCCAGTGAAATGGAATCTACTTCTATGATATAGTTTAAAATATTTTACTAGAACTTTGCTCTAAGAATATATTTGTCATGGGACAGGAGATGTCCTTTAATGTGACGTGTTGCATATTCAAACCCATGTGATGTTTTAAAAAGGAATCCCACTGGAACAGTACAAAACCAGTCAGATTGCTAGATGGGGGCTGGGTGGGAAAGTCAGGAAGGGAAGGGATTCCCACTCTGGTAAACTGACTGAATTACACACAAATGCTTTTAATATCAATGCTGGTAATAATGAGCTATTCATTTGAAGAAAAAGAAGAATTTCAACTCTCAACCTGAGATTCAGGTTTTGGAAACAGTGTATTTAGATGAAATACTGTTCCTGAAATGATGGGCTAAAGTATAATCCTCATAAGTAAATGATTTGGCCTTACTTTGGATAGTTGTTACTAAGAAGACGCCCACGGTTAAATCCTTCAAATGGACTTGTGTGTTTTCCATCATTTCTGATTAATTTAGAGTTTATATCTGAACATAAATTAATGTTAGTTTTGATACGTGGAAAGTACTTTGAGTCCCATGTAGTCGACTCCTTTGAGCTGTGGGTAGATTCTGACATTTTGAAGGTGTCTTCTACTAGAGAGGTAAATAGTCACTCACCATCAAATAGACAAGAATGACAACTGAGATAGTTTTCAGCATTAAGTTCATTCTTAAAAGAAAAAGTAGGAATTTCTGTAAGACCATTTCCTGGCACTCTTGGGCAATAGTTCATTTTATTTCTTGGTGCATGTTAGATACCCTAAAGCTCAGATGATGACTACAGACCATAGACTCTGAGCAGAGAACCAAAAATAAGTTCATGGATAACCTGAATTATAATTACATACTGCAAGAACATATATTTAAGAGATCTTGAACTTGGAATTTTACCTAAAACATTTGAGTAATTAATGATGATTATTGTGTGGGTAGTGAAGAGAGGTAGAAAATGGTTAAAGTAATTGGTGAAAAAAAAATCACCATAAAAGTCTGTTCTTCTGGAAAGAAGGAAACTTCTGGAGAGGCAAAATAAAATAAAGGTTTTGTCCTAATATGTTATGTCATGGTCATAACTGATGTCTTCTGGGTGGCGCACTGAACCAACCAATATTAGCTTGAAAATACTGACTCTAATCCCGGTGTTTCTAGACCACGCTGCTCTGTGGGTATGAATGATGTCCCCTTGTCATCCTCACTGACACTGGGCTAGCACGTGGCCAGTTGGCTGGTGGAGGGTATGAGTTACCTTATGAGGCTTCTCCCAAGATTAGGTCCACAAGACACTGTCCTCATTTTGATTAGGTCTCTGCTGGCCAACAACAGGGCCTGCGGCTACCACTTCTTAAAGGAATCCTGCCCTGCCCACATAGCTGCAAAACCCTGAGGCTGCCACAAAGTGTACAGATCCTTCATCCTTCACTGAGCCAGAGCCAGGCTGGGTTCAGAGTGGAGAGAAACAAAGCCTCTCCTTCCTGAAGGCCCAGGCACTTAAGTCCTTCCCATATTATACTTCCTGCCACCCTAGCCAGACACCCAGACACCCAGACACCTACAGCTTCTGTCTCAAAGGCCTTCTCTCTCTCTCCTCTCTCTCAAAGGCCCTGACTAAGTTTTCCATAAGTAGCTTAGGGAGTTGCTAATCCCGTCTGTGCATTTTTATTTCAGACTCCTCTGGGAGCACTCTGTGAGGGCTACAATGTTCTGTCAGGCACCTTAAGAGTTACAGAGTGAGTGCACCAAATCCCTGACGACAGGGCTTGGGTGTCTGGCAGGTTAGTAGTAGAGATGATGTGTATATAAAATATTATAACCTAGGGCTGAAAGGGATGTCACGATTGCTCTGCCAGAGTACGTCAAGCCTTTGCAGCTTTTCCTTGTCCTTGGGGTGCACACCCTGCCATTTTCTGTTTTCTGCTTGGCAAACTTCATTCTTTCTTCAAGGCTCAGAACAAAAAAGCTCAAGAGTTACCTGCTCTTTGAAATCTTCCTGAATCTCAGAAGGACTTATCTGTTTTAGGTTTTCACTGTACTGTGTCATACTGCCACTACAAAAATTATCTTTTCAATTATGACTCTTTAAAAAAAAAGACAAGCCCAGCTTTATTAAGGTACAAATTACATGGCATAAGTTGCACATATTTGAAGTGCACAATTTGATAGTAAATATCATAAAAAGAATGCTACTATTATTACTGTCTTGACCCAAGGGTAGCTTTATCTTATTAAGGAGCATTTACTACTTAAAGACACAAACAAAAGTAATATCTTTTCGTTAAAGAAAATTCAGAAAAGGAGTAAAGAAGGAAAAAAAAAGGTTGCCTGCAATCCTATAACAAGACATTGCTGAAGTTAATCAACTCCTTCTGGTTTGCCAGTGTCATTCATCAAGTGTGTGTCATTCTGACATGTGTGCAAAGAGGAGAGCCTCTTCTGTTACTTAAAGAATATCTACAGATGGGATTTAATCTTCTCTGTCCTCTAAGTCCTGAATTCCCAACACCTAAAGTATTGTTTGGTGTATGGGAATCCTAAACCTTCTTTACATGTGGTGTTTAGCTGGAAAGTAAAGTTTGTACAAATCATTTTTCTGGAGACAGAAATAACCAAGCACACACCCTTCAGTGGAGCACTGTAATAAAGACTATATTTCGTGGCACCCAGTTGGCTTAGTTGGTTAAGTGTCCAACTTCGGCTCAGGTCATGATCTCACAGCTAGTGAGTTCGAGCCCAGCATCAGCTGTGCTGACAGCTCAGAGCCTGGAGCCTATTTCAAATTCTGTATATCCCTATCTCTCTGCCCCTTCCCCACTTGTACTCTGTCTCTCTCTCTCTCTCAAAAATAAATAAACATTAATTTTTTTTTAAAATAAAGACTATATTTTATCAGATGTAACATGCCATCAAAAGTGTAGGAGGCTACATTACCTCATGTATTACTATGAAAGAAAATTTACTGCCAAGTAATTGTAAGACATCATCAACTATAAAACAAATCCTGATTTTAGGGTACTTAAAATCTAAAAAAAAAATCTACCTTAGATCTATAAAACACAGAAGTTCTTAAGCCATGTATCTTAAGGAGGATCCTTATACTGTGAGGGTACTATTTAAAAATGGCTTTTTGGAACCATTTGAGGACTGCTCCAATCATATCTCTCCTTGCTTGTCTATCAGCCAATCGT